TACATTGGGGTTGGTGTTGCAACCCTGTTTTTGCCTAATGTGGCCAAATATGTTCTCCAGAGGATCCTGTTGAAGCCTGCGTGTTAACAGGTATTCAAAATTGTAAATTTTGGAGAGGTCGTCCCATAGTTGACAAATTGCCTGAATTGTAATTTGCCAACCTACGATGGTTTGTGGTTGACGTCTGCCAACAAACTGCCATGATGCAATCCAGGGAAGCTGGCCTCGGAGGAAGTCAATCAGCTCTGAATCATTTTTCATGATTGCATGCCACAGCTTTTGCGAAGTTCTTTTTTTACTCGAGCTGTTCAAGGCATCGAAAATCCTGTCCATACGATCACAAAATTGAGCTGTAGTGATGGCCGAGGAAGGCAGCACCTTCGCATACACCAATGCCGTGATAGCAATCGAAACTTATGTACTGAGGACCTGAGTTGCTCTGCTGACCTTCATATTAGAAAAAGGTTTCTGATGAACGTGCCGTTCAGTCAACTTTGGAGCCAATCGCAACCGCAACTCATGTGAGGATTGGTAAAGGCTTACAATGTGCGACCAGTTAACGATGTCATCCCCAATGTATAACTTGTGTGCTTGGACATTATTGCGCGTTGTTTTAATTAAATGCGGAACATCAAAAATGTAATATACCCGCTCACCATTAACTTCAAAAAAAGGCTTTGCTACAGTCACTCTTAGTTGGTTAGCGAGACTTACATTTGAACTGTCCTGGTCACAAATGGCTGCTTTCACTGCAATATTAATGCTCCTAAGCTCCAAAATGAGTGACACCAGCAAGTTATGCATAACAGATGATGGTGTTGATGTGTGCCCTATAGTAAAAGCAACCGGTTGAACCCACTTTCTCGAAACGCCAACAAGAAGAAAAACCAGTGCTCGATCAGCGATGGTTGAAGTGCGATGAGTGCCATCATCTGCAAAACCCTGGACAACGTCTCTTGCAGCATCATAGTACAAATTCTTTTTGAGTGCTATTTCGTCGAAAACTAAAGCGCACACTCGGTCCTGTTCATTCCAAGCTTGAGTATTTGTTGCAATGGAAGAAAGGATTCCTGGAAATATGCCTGGAGTCATCTTTACATTAGCTAGCCACCTCCTTAATGAACGCCGGGAGAGCAAAGAAAAATATGGAGCCAGAAATCGGTATGCTCGCGGACCTCGGAAGTTTAAGTGAACAGCAAATTTCTTGAACCACACGGGAAACCGCTGGCCCTTGCATTTGGGCCTCAAGCGAACATGTGCAGAAAGAAGTTTAAAAACCTCCTCGGTGACGTGCGGTCGGATAACTTCAAAGGCCTTTGAAGTCGATGACGGTGCTTGGTGAGGCTGTCTCCGCAGTCTTTTGATAGTTTTCCGCTGTGCTGCTACTTTGGCTTGCAGATGTTTAATGGTTTGCTTGTACTTCATTGATGGAGACATTGTCGCTGGCACACAGGAACGCACTGCAATAAACAAAAAAATGGATGTAAAAGTGAAGAACAACTAATCTCATACGAGCACTTTCCTCGCTCTTTCAGACCCAAGGTGCACAACTTTCTGTGGTGCAAAGTTTTCGATTCCACTACCTAAAAACAAACCATTCACAATGTTGACAATGCACAAAAAAAATCACTGAGAGCCCACCCTTACATTTTGTAAGTGCACATGTAGTGTTCTTTTGAGGATAGTTTCCTCAGAATGTCCTAAACATAAAATAGCACATTAAGAACAGCTGCAATAAAAGCATAGTCACCATTTTCTCTAGGGCACTCAGGCATGGAGCTGTTGGCGGAGACGTCTTCTGGAGGGTTTTGTGAAGCTTGTTGAGTGCCTCGGACAGTGCTGTCGGAACAATCTTGCGAGCGGCCTGCGGAAGTCTCTATATCAATCCACTCTGGTGTTGAAGTGAACGTACAACTTACCGGTCACACAAGTTCCTTTTGTGACAGCTGAATGACTGGTTAAGGTTTTCTCCGGCAAGACGAAGTCAGCGGAAATTCTTTCACCAGCTACAAGGGAGCTGCCACCTGCAGAGGTTTGGTCAACAGTCAATTTCGGTAAAAAAAAAAGAAATCGCGACACTGAACGCACCCTGTTCATCGGGGCACCTCAATCTGTGGGAGCCGCTTTTTGAAGCCTCTACCGCAGGTCCTGAAGAAATGAAATTACGACAATGTATCAGTAAGAGTCTTAAAATAACACAAACTGAAACTCATCCGCACCTTGCAGTGCAGCTTCTGCAGCCATGTCACAGTCACTACTTGAAGAGACGCTCAGAGAACCTGCATATATGTGCAGTTGGTACAAGTTACAAAGCTTGTAGCATGGGGAAACTTAAACAGCTCTTTCAAACGCATAAATTGGTCGAACGTGGAAGAAAAGAGAAGGCACCAACTAGGAAACAAGTAATTTGTGATTTTTGGAATTATCAACAGTAGCAGCTTTCACTGATGAAAGGTATACGTACATGTGCACTCAGGCTTGAAGATAACGTGAAATAGCCCTTTAAAGTCTTCTAAAACAAGTTGCACAAGTCAAGATCATCAAAAAACGACAGAAATGTAAAGAAATGCAAGAAAAATCGTAGTTAAAATTTATGCGGTAAAATTATATTGGAAACGTCAAAAAAATTTGTGAGCAGCTTGCACTAGTGACACAAGGCTAGCGAAAAAACGAAGATGATGGCCTCTTGGCTAGTCCAGATTTGCCTCCGGCACACCAAGAATTATTCGTGTTCCGAGCCTTCGGGAAACGCGTCTTGAAGCAAGCGAGGCCCAGCGAATGCTTCTCATTGTTTTGCACCGAGCCTATGACCTAGCTGCCCAGCTACGCTCAGCGCACAGACGCTCGCGTCCGTGGCAGACGCAGCACGCGTCGCCTCGGCTTGACGCCGTGCCGCCTTTGCTATACTGCATACGTTGCACAATGTTCCCGTCTAGCCGCCGCATAGAGCCACAAACTTTCTTTTTAGTGAACCTCCCAGTCCTTACAAGCTTCAGAAAAAGGTTACAACTGCGTGAATGAGACGCCACGTAAGAAACAAACTCGCACACTCGAAGCGCAACGTGTGTGTGTGCATCTTTCTATGTTTGTTGCATGGTGTCTTCTTCGCGCAAGTGTAACCGTTTTCTGAAAAAATGACCCAACAAGACCAACAACATGTCATTCAACAAGCTTCGCTTGAGAACGTGCCTCACCTGTTATCTCACGCACGAAAACGCCGACGCAGCCGACGTTGACGAAAGCGACGAAAGCTTCTCGCTGTCAGTCATGCATGGGCTTGTCACTGGGTAGATGGTGTTTATGACAGTACGGCTGAAGAAAAATAATCGCGTAAGGTGTGTTGAATAAATTGTTTTTATGTATAAATAACATACCAAATTTGGGCGTATAATAATTATTTTGTAAAAACAATTCTGTTGCGTTGATTATAACTGTTTTTTTGCGCTTGCGCCCTCTGACGTTTGGTGAGAGCACTAGTTCGTTACGTAGTTGTGACGCACGTCCTGAGGCCAGGTTTCGCGGAGTGTCCGCTCTTGTCTTCTTCTTTCTCTATGGTGAAGGTATGAGATATGGCACAACGGGAGCGTTGTCAACAAGGATAAATAAATTTATTTCCCAACAGTTTCGGAGGGGGGGTCCTTCCTTCATCAGGGGATGAGTTATACTGACATGAACTTCCAAACTTCGCTGCTGCCGCGTCCCTCTCGCCTTGAAAGATGTTTGCGAGAGTGAGAAGGAACTAAAAAAGAAAAAAACAAAAAAAAACAAAAAGAGGGGTAGAAAAAAAGACGAAAAAGAAAAAGAAAGAAAAGAAAGAAAGTAAAAGAGAGGAAGAACCACTGTCAACACTGAGAACAAAACCAACTGTCCGCGTACGTCCACATACGGTTCTTATCACGTGCTGTTCAGTTCTCGACGTGTGTCGGGCCAATATATATATATTTATATATATATATATATTTATATATATATATATATATATATATATATATATATATATATATATACATATATTTATATATATATATATATATATATAGATATATATATATATATATATAATATATATATATATATATATATATATATATATATATATGTGTGTGTGTGGTGTGTGTGAGTGTTCTTTCCGAAATAAAAAAATTCAGTAGCTAGAGTAAGTATATATCTTCCGGTGTCCATTCTAAGTCTTCGTACATATTGCGCTAGTTCCATGATGAAACAATAGGTGCAGCATGCGGTCTCCATTGGGCAATATATTTCCAAGGTCAGCTAGAAATCGTTCGCCCTTCTTTTTACAAATGATTCCATATACCCAAATGACCACGCCATATGCCCGAATTCACGGCCACTGGCATCGTGGGTCGCATCTATAGTTACCGCGGCCACTGCGAGCACACGCGTCCGTTTTCAGCAACACAGAATGTAGGCCATGCCTTCGAAAAAAAGTGCTCGAACTAACAACACGCTCGTGAAGTAACTTCTTTTCTCCGCACCAACCCACACAGCTTAGCTTCTAGGGTGTTCATCGGGACGAGAGAAAGCATTTACAGCATTCGACGAATCACCGTAGCTCCACTCCAATGATTGACAAGTTCTAACATCGGTCGATTCGTAAGGCAGCAACTCTCTTACTGAAGAGAGAGAAAATATACGTCAGCGAGTGTACAGAGGCCCTTCGTTAAGTCTAGGGCTTCAATTGCCTTGCGTGACCCGGCGAGTTGATCTACTGGATCAGCTGCTGCTGTTACTGCCGGCGTAAGCTGAGCAGTGCAGACCCTCAAGAGGAAGGGGTGTGGTTGTAAAGGAACGCCGAAGACTTTCGGTGGTTACTCGGAGAAGTGTTGCAGGTGTAACGAAAGGGAGCAGTGTATGAGTACAGGCGACGCGAACGGGGCCCAGTCATGATATCGCGGTCCTCGTCCAATTTTAGCAGGTATTGAAGACGTCTCCTGGAACGCCTTACCACCTTGCGCAGGCCTACTGTCCAGTACTCTTACATGGAACCGAACGTCTGGAGAAACATCAGCATACCCGTAGTACAGGAAGAAGACGGTACTGAAAGGCGTAGCCAGTGCCAACGCTTCGAGCCTCCACTGCCCTACGCCGAGTCCTCTGCAGGGCTCCCGGACAACCGGAGCACCGTGCCGTGCGACGCCGGTTGGCAATACGCGTCCGGCGCCAGCTCGGCTCACCAGCGGTGCAATGCCATATTGGCGGAGTCGCACGGCCACTCTATCGTCGACGAATTGGACCTGGTGTGCGGCCGCAGTTGGATGGTGCCGGCGCTCTCGGCAACGTACGTGGCTGGAGGTGTTGTCGGAGCTCCGGTGAGTTTCACAAACAGGAGCTGCGGTAGTGGAGCTGCATTTTCCTTTCATAGCTTGCGCTGTACTCGGAATCCGGCTCACGATTATATTTACTGTATTAACGACAGAGCTCTTCAGAGGTCTGACTTGTCGGTGTCCTTAATTTTTTTACCAATATCTGTCGAGAATATCCATTTTCTGCCAGGAGGTGGGAAATGGCGTGGGATGGTGGGGAGGTAGAAGACGAGGGGAGAGAGTAAAACATAGTATAGCCTAGTACTCTCTAGCATGGGATTGGGAAAGAGAAGTTACGGTGAGGAGTGATACGAGGGTGAGGAGTAGGGGAAAGAATGAAGCGGAGCATTGCCATGACCAGGAACCACACAATGAACGGCTTTCTAGCGGATGCAGCGAACGCTTCGTTTACATGGTCACCCTCACTGCCACATGGTGACATGGTCACTCCAGCAGTAATGTGCAACGAATATTCAAACGCCCCGCATTCTACGTCAATGAGTCGTTGATTTGCAAACCGATACAATTTTCGACTATATCTAATTGTGTGCTTTTATTTGCCACTTCAACTTTTGTGCAACTTGACACCATTACTTTCCTCAGTGAAATTATTTTGTACTGATTGTTTTTCGAAATGTTCAACCCTTGTATGCAATTTGTACCGCTTCTGTAAGTGACCTGTCTCAAGATTTACGGTGTGCGAATGGAGCAGGTAAATAGTATTATTTAAAAGAATTCATAGCTTGGCTAGGGCCTATTTGTGAACTGCAGATCGCAAATAATGTCCGTCACTCGTAAATTATCCCAGTAGCCCCACAGCACACCAGTACAAGCGCTTGCTACTTGCTCCGAGACAATATGAACGATTTTGCAGCCTGACAACATCCCGCCTATCCCCAAGAAAAACACGCACCTCTTTATTTTACTATAAACAGGTTTCAACTGGTTTAAGACCATAGTGCAAATAAAACAAGCACACTAGAACGTCAGCACGAATCCTTAGTTGCGCTGCAGTTATCACGCTGAAATAACTACCTCAATATTGAACCCTAAAAAAGACACAAGAGGAAAACGATCGCGCGCGTATTAGTAAAAAGACTATTCTACAATACTGAAAACAGCACTCTTAACGCAAAATAACATTCACCTCGAGACACCTGATCCAAACACCATGAAAGAGCAAGAACATTGTTGCGTCAAAAAATTAAAGTAATGGTCATCTATGGGTGTCGTAGACCTAGCATACGACGTTTCAGGAAAATTTCTTCAAGCCAGTGTCATCGAACCTGCAGAAAATACATTTTAAAATTAGTGCCATCACGCAATGAGATTCGGCGCGAAACTTAAATTGTGAAACCTGAACCTTGATTTTCTCCTCTGGTAACGATCTAATCACACTGAAACATGTTATATTAGGGTAATCAGAGTGCAGTTTATCAATTTAAATGAAGTCAATGTTTCTCTTTAGTGTCCCTTAAGGCCAGAGATCCCAAAACAGATGGCGAGTAGATTGTATTCGTTTTGTGTGTTCTGCCTTTCTCGCACGTAATTTACGCAAAAGTTGAGAGTTGGGCGTGTTGGAAACTATGCACGAACACGACGGAGACGCCAGACGAGGAAGAAAGACGAGCGCTCTCTACAACCTTAATGAGTTGTTAGGGAGCGCTCGTCTTGTGCCCTTATCGCCTTTTCGTCTTTCTAATTACGGAAGTTGAAGTAAAGCGAAAATGCAAACGTCTTCGGCTCCCACCTAGAATTTTTGGTCATGGCCAACGCCGATTCTTCGCTCACAACCTACGACGCCACCACCACCGACACCGGAAATCTGCTAAATGAGTGGGACTATACACGCGCTATCCGTACACCCACACCACACGTGGCGGGACACCTGCCGCACGCAAGCGGAGGGCGAAAGAGCACCCGCAAGCAGAGTGCGACAGAGCGTCTCGGCGACGCTCTTTCGCCCTAAGCTTGCGTGTGGCATGTGTCCCGCCATGTGCGGTCCGGCTGTGCGGACAGCGTGTTAATAGGCCCTTACGCAATCCCGTCAATAGATATTGTTTGGTAACCTTAAATCTGCTCTAAAAATTGATTCTTAAGAGAGAAAGGAAGAGAAAGGTGAGCCCCGTAAGTGTCTGCTTCAGCGAGCGACACCTCAACAGTAGCTCATAAGGGATGGGGGTGAGGAGGGATTAAAAGGGTAAGAGTAAAGGTGTAGAAAAGAGGAAGAGGCGTGAGGTGGTAAGCCAGAGAGAGCGATGACAAATGGAGGGGATAGGAGAGATAGGAAAGATGGAAACACGGTCACAGGAGTCCGAGCACGGGGCACCACTTGCGAGAGCTCTTGTCGGCGTCAGTAGATGGCGTAGAGCAAGTCCAGTTGGTCAGAGCTACACTGTCGTCGAAGGTAGTCGGCGTCAGGAGATGGCATAGAGCGAGCGCAGTCGGCCAGAGCTACGCTGACGCCGGAGATCGCGAGGGCATAAGCGGTCGGCACGGAATCTTCACAACTGATGTACTAGACTCTCTGCTTTCAGCTGGCGGGCATCGCTGCCGACCGCATTGGTCGACGTCCCGTGCTCGGCTTCTGGCTCGTGCTGCTCGTATTCGCCGGCACCGCACTCGTGTTCGCCAACAGCGTGGCGGTGTTCGCCGCGCTCCGGTTCGTGACATCCGCGGGTGCCGCCGGAGTGTTGGTGGCCTCGCAGGTGTTGCTCTTCGAGGTGACCGACTCGCAACACCGCGTCCTCTTCTGCGCCATCGCCGTCGCGGCAGCCGCGTTCGTCGCAGCCGTCTACACTGAAGTCGTCTACGTCTTCATCCGGAACTGGCATGCTGCCCAGGTAAGACGGCGCGATCTCAACAACACGCTACAGGAATAAGTACAATGCTGCGTTAGCTCAAGGGCATGTACTAGAACGGCCCTTCAAATAGCGCATGCATATGAACACTATACGCCACCATATTGAAGGGCATCAATTTCTGATAGTGTCCGCCGTCGCCGTACCGTTATTGATTTTAGTGAACGTAAATGTAACGTGAAGTGAATGTGCAGGATTTCGTCTTTGTGCAAGACATGTTGTTAGGCTGCATTAGTTGAGGGGGTGAGTCATACGGAGAAAAATTTTCAATAAACTCGAAAGCTTTTCTTTGCACATTCTTTAGGAGGGTGATGTTGGCTTTAGTAAAGGGGTCCCAAAAACACATGCATATTCAAAATATGGCCTATTTAGTCTGCTATAAGCAAGTGACTTTACAGCTGGAGGTGTCTGAGCTTATGTCGAAGTAAAGCGCTCCATACAGACTATAAGGCTAGCATTGCTTATAACCGGGTTAAAATGAATGAACAATTATGCTATAAGGTATAATTAGCAGGAAGCAATCGCAATAATTTGGTTGCCGAAACCTTTTTAGCAATAAAATGCTAAAAACGCTTCGGCAACCTCTTGGGCCGCGCAAGCAAGTGCAACACCGCCTCGTCTCCGGCGCTGCGTCGGTACCTTTGAAGAGGGAAACTACCCGACGAAACTCGCTGTAGACGACGCGTATCTGAACTGCCGTAACAAGCAGGATGTCGATAATGTGCCGCACGAAGTAGAACTCATGTCGCACACCGAGTTCTCGAATCTCGCTAAGCCAGATCCCGCAAGTGCCGGGAAAAAGCTACGTGCTTAGCGCACACATTGGCGTCATCGACGCTTTGCCGAACGGTGCAGCGGGAATCTGTACGAAGAGGAATCTCTGGATGCCCGTGCTGCTATACTTTCCTCGTGCTTCACAGTATAGCGGAGCTGTAGCATGTTTTTATCTCTCCAGGTAGCCTACATGGTTCCCACGTGTGGTTTGGTGGTCGCGGCTTATCTAGCAGAGGAGTCGCCCTGCTGGCTCATGGCCACCTACGAGCTGCGCAACGCCGAGAACGTTCTGTCGCGTGCAGCCGGAGCCAACAGAGTCGAGCCGCCGGTCTTCAGGCGCCGGCTGTCGGCGCTCAGGGACGAGATGTGCAGGCAGCGCTGTCACTCGGTCACTCAGCAGGAACAGGAACGCGCCAACGTCACAGTCACGGACCCCGGTGATCATTTCTTCCGTTCTACTGGCGACGAACGGGTTATGGCCACCAATCTCGCTTGCACGATACCACGCAATGTCACCTTCATACTTGAATGTAGCTTGTGAGTGAAGACACGTCTCCGTTCAGCAGCAGCGCCTATACACTTGGCTTGCTCGGCTACGGGACAACCATGGCGTGCGCACGGTTCATTATGAGGGGAGGTGAGGGGTAATTTGTGTCGGAGACCCCCGCCCCCCACCTAATTATACGTCCGCTCATTTTGACTCATTTGCCCCAACAGAGCTTTGCGCCGACACAGGTGCCCATGACATTGGTGCTCTACTCGCTCGGAAAACAATGTAGGCAGACATTGCGCCCCTCTCCTCCCCACCGTCTTAGGTGAAGAGGCGGCCACCCCCACTCCCCTTCCCCTCCCCCGAGTGCACGCCTGTGGACATATTAAAATAGCGCACAAAAAAGACTACGCACTAGGCGAATAAACAAACGGGACGATTGCTAAATTGGCGTCGTTGTTTGTTCACGTCCCGTTTGTTGCATTCTGTCGAATAAAACAGTATACAGTATACATCCTTGGAGCGCGTTTTAGAACAAGCCATAAATTAAATTCGGGGTTGTCGAACATGCAGGAATACTGAAAGTATCCTTGTTTCTCGTGGCCCATAAAAGCTGATATGATGTGCAGTGTTCCTCTTATTACCACGCCATATTCTTGCAGCGTTTCCTTCATACAATGCACTTAATAAGTAGAGGCCTGCGATTCCGCAGAGGGGGTCCGGCTTTCGGACTTGCTTTCCAACCAGCCCCTGCGCCAGCGGTCGGCCATAATCTTCGGCTGCTGGTTCCTGGTGTTTGGAACATTTGCTCACCTCAGCACGGGTCACATGATGCGCACCAGCCAAGGCGCCCGCGCCGCCCTCGTGGTCTCGCGTCTGCCCTGCGTCGTGGCGGACGTCTACGTTCTCACGCGCAACAGCCGGCGCCTCTGCCTAGTCTTCAGCATGCTGTCCCTGGCCATCGTCATGGGCGCCCTGTCCCTTGCAGTCTCCTTGGACGCCGCTGACCTCGTCGCCGCCGTTCTAGTCACCTTGGCGTTGCTTATATTCGACATGTCCGCCATCTCGGCGTTCGTCTTGTCCGCGGAACTCTACCCGACCGTGCTTCGTGGGGCTACGTTCGGAGTCTGCTACATGAGCGGACGTCTCGGGGCCCTAGTGGCGGTGTTCGTCAACGAGATCCAGTCGCGGCCGCTACGGGGCGTTGCGTACGCTGTCGTGGCCGCCATGTTGCTCCTGGTTGGCATGATGGCGCTCGCGCTGCCCGAGACCAAGCATACGCCGCCTTCGAACGTGGTTCACGGCATTATGGTCATGTAGGACAAGTGGCAGCTCTATTCTCCGCTGCGAGTGGCCCGAACCCGACACAAGCGCCGCCATTCCAAGACGGCGCTACTGGAGAGCGACCGAATGCGCCGTCGCAGCTCTTCTTTGCTGCGAGAGCAAGCCGCTTTGGGTCGGGACCCAGCGGCCTATAAATGACAGGCTGCTGGGTACTTGGGGCAATTAGCGCTTCTTTTTTAGTTTTAAATATTTTTGTGGTAATTTGTCACGCCTAATGTTTGCTTTAACAACGTGCCTTTCTTATGACGTTTATGGAGAGCTTATCTTTCAATGTAGCCCTTAGTCTAGGCAGGATACATTCTTGAATTCTTTTGTTTTGGATATATAATTCACATTTGTGTATGTTTGTGAACGACCTATGTGGATCGCGCATTGTATCTATAGGTATGTGTTCTCGGAGGCTAGCTATGATTGGATAGCATTGCATTTGGATACGTATTGATAAACCCTGAACCACTTACTAAGCACCCTATCTGCTTTCAACTTATGGTGTACGACATCAAGACGAAAAGACGGATGCGGGACAACACGTGATCTCGTGAACAGACTTATGTCTAAACGACGTTTATTGATATATGTAACGTTCGGAGTTGAGTTGACCTTGTAGCGACGCATAGGAAATTATACAGCTGCTGCGTTGTCGATTCTTGGAAATCATCACTGTTTTGAATATTTTCATCCAGCAAAAGTATAGCGACGTTCGGCGTGTTGGCTTGCCTAGAAAGTAAGTAAGCATTTGGTTTCAATACGTTTTTGTTGTTCGAGTGGATCCGTTGGTGCACATGCATGTCCCCCCCCCCCCCACTTACAAAGCTTCAGGCATAATTCTTCATCGTCGTCAGCCACAACATTAAAAATGCACAAAGTTGCAAGCGTTTAGGCGGGTACCACGCTTCTCCGAAGAATGGCGAAGGATGGCATAGTGAATATACTCTGCAAGTGTGCTCGTAGTAATTACCCAAAGAGGGTTTAAAGAAGAAACGCTGCTCTTCCAGCTTTCGCTGTGACTGTGCTGAGCATTCAACGCGCAGGCCTGTGCGTTTTTTTAATACCAGGGGTATTACAAGCATATGACATGAACGAGAGAGAAAAAACCTAGACGAGTAGAGCTGAAAAAAAGTCCGCTACACTCAAAAGTGCGTCGAATAAGTTGCTGACGCAGCCAGCCCGGCTGGCAGAGATCTGTCTTGCCGAGTTCACGGAGTGCACCGAAATACCCCCTTTGTCCCATGTTCTGCAGTGGCGCCCTGCCGCAAGAAGAAGACGACGAACGGGTTAGGAAAATACGAGGTAAGACTTGCCCTCGACGCTTTGCATAGAGAAACCCTTCATGAGATCCGTATGCGCCCGGTTTCTTGACCCTCGGGCTAAAGAAAGAATCGGTGGCCTCATTGCCAGGGTTTCCCGAATGCGCGGACACACAAATTAGCTCAACGCTGCGGGAAGAAAGGGAGATTTCGGGTGGGAATGTGGAACGTGGTAGGGTGAACTCCACCCATAGCATAATTTAGCAGCGCTGGTTTTGAATAATTTAGGATGTAGGTATAGCATTCGCATTCCCTATAGCGCTAGCGCCACAGGGATCTCTTCCACTTCTTCGGGTTCGGTTCCACGAGGTAGTTTTAGGAGCTTGCTCGCCAAGCTTTTTGTGCTAGGGGCATGTCTCTTGGCGTGTACGCTAGAGGCGCGACTGCGCTATGTACCCACTACACGTCCACCGTAACTTTGTGGAGTAGAGAAACACCAACTATGCCACTATTCCATTCGTCATTCTGCCGAGAAGGTAGGTACCCGCTACGCACCTGTAAGGCATTATGCGAACTTTGTGCTGCGAGGAAGGTTCGTCGACAGACGGACCCTGAGGTGAGAGCCCGCGACGAAGGGGCGACACGCAAGCGGCAAAGAGAACCTCTAGCCGGAAAATGTATCAACACTGTATTTTCTAACATTAAACTGCAGCCTCTATATAAAGATTCTCTCGCCACATCCTTCACCAACTAAAAAATTGTAATCTTCAAAGGAAAACGCGTCCCACAGCTTTGTAGCTAGTAATGTAATCCTTGTATATAATTGCATCGATTTGTCAATGATTGCATCTTGTGTATATATAAATGTATGTAGTATATGTGTCAAACGAAGCCTGAATAGCGGCAAGCCTTTTCGTGATGATATAGAGCGCGCCGTTCTCTTATTACGATGGACAAGCACGCAGATATACGCAGTGTTGCCGAACAAGATGCGCGCGCCTGTCACTCGTGATAATTGAACGGTGCGCACCATACCATCGCGAAGCCTTGGGGCTGTTCGGGTTTCACTTAACGCTGATAGTAAATTCGCCCCTTTAGACACCTGTCACATCTTTATATGACGGTGAAGGACTCGTACGGACGATTCACGGGTTCTCCCGATCGGCTCCGAGCAAGTTCCTCGATCATATCTTTCACTTCGTGAAGGTGGCGGTTTTTTATATATTTAATGGAGGGACAAGCGAATTGTAGGTCATTACGGCGGCTCCGTACTGATTGCTTACAGCAATCAGTACCGAGAGAATGCTGTCGGCAGCCGTACGCTTCAGGAAGAGTCGCTGCTTTCCGCCACTCGCTGTTTCGATCGGAGTGCGTGTTATACGGGGAAACGTTCGAATACCGAACGTTTCAAGAATTTCTTTAGGTACGAAATAATTATGATTAACGGAGATGCGAATTTGAAAGGTATTCGTTCTTTCATCTTCTATTATCTTTAGTGTTAAGCCACGACAGTAGATAAATAGATTATTACGTTGGTTTCGAATGAAATGTCGTTTCCGTCAACAGCTACAGGAGGGCGAAAATAGAAGTGATGGCGATAACACAGTTGCTTAGCCAGGTGCACCTAATTACTTGAGTTTGAGAAAGAACGTTGTATTCTTCCGATTGTAACATAAGATAGTCTCTTCTGGGTCATCAGGTTTAATTTCACGAAATACACACGCACACACATACATACATACATACATACATACATACATACATACATACATACATACATACATACATACATACATACATACATACATACATACATACATACATACATACAGACAGACATACATACGTACATACATACATACATACATGCATACATACATACATACATACATACATACATACATACATACATACATACATACATACATACATACATACATACATACATACATACATACATACATACATACATACATACATACATACATACATACATGCGCGCACACCCAAAAGGGCATGAAATTCAGTGCCACTTTTGAATGGCAGTCCGACCACTAACAACTCGACGACCTCGAATGCAGGTGAACAAACCAGAGAAAGCTATTATTTCTAATAACTTCCGGCGTCATCGTGGCTTCACAACGAGTGGCATCAGGGCCTCTCTTACCTTTCTTTCCTCCGTGGTGGTTGGCGCACATTGCCGCCATTGTTGCAACTTGATGGCGATGGCGATACAGCTATGTCCTTTCAACGCCTGACGCTTTGGATCGGGTCGCCTTTTCAGCGCGAAGTAGCCCGAACAGAAAGAAAATAAAAAAATCTAATGCACACTTTCACACTTGAAATGAAGGTTTGTTCACTTTATTTGAAAGAAAAAACGTTACAGTACGGCACTACCACAATGATTTCGCCTCTCGCTGCGATCATGGCGATGGCAATGGCTGCGCTGTGCAGCGAGCTAGAATCACAAGAGTTACTGCTGCCCTGCCACGAGTTTCTTGATTTCCAGGGAAACGACGGTGCGACAGCTATAGCAAAAAAGATAAACCATTTCACAAAAAGCACGATACAAAGTTTAGTACTTTTTGTGTGTGTGCAAAAAATTGGTTCGTGCGTGACACAATTGTGCTCCCACATGAACCATGAACTCCGTTGTAATCGCAGTTTCCGATGGCGAATTTTCAACATGGAGAATTCACCGCTAACTTGAACTCCAAAACAGAGTCCACAGAGGATTTTTTAGGAATGACCCCTGTGCACTTCTCCCAAGGACATCTTAATAACCACCCTGTTGGGATATCCCCTACCCACATGTCCAAAGGACATCTAAAAAACCCACCCTGTTGGAATGTGGGACATATGGATCTTTTAGGGAAGTCCCTTGGATGTTGTATGTTGTCTGGGTTAGCGTTAACTACTGTGGGGGTGCTAACACTCACTGTAAAGGAGTTCGCGCCTCGTTGCGCACGTTTTGCGCGCATTAGCTGCATTCACGGGTCAAACCATTGAATGGGAAGTGGCGTTGTACTCGTGAGCGTTTATCACCACCATGCATTATGGCTAGAACGGTAGCGCCAGCAGCGACGCCTGACGTCAAGCCTGGGAGGCGGCACAAGAGAAAGAAGCGATCCTCTTTGGCGTGTGGTGGTGGGAGCGAGCGCTCGACTCTTGCGGCGGGTCTGCGGTAGAAGACATTACGGGTCGTGTGCCGTGGGCCCTCCTGGCGAGTCCAGCATTCGCGACGCCACCTCGTGTGTGTTATTTGTTTGTTACTTTATCCAGTGTTGTGTAATAGTGTGTATGGCTGTTTAGCGTGTTGATCACACATGTGTAATAATTGGGCTTTTGATGTCGTTTTAAAAGTTGTTAAATGTGTGCTTGTTTTGGTTCGGTCCAACCATGTCTACTGTGTCCGTTCACTCCAAAAGCGTGGCGCTAACCACTTCGAGGCCCCACAATACGAAGAGGGATCGTTGAAACATAAAACAAGCATCACGCAATTTCCGAAAACAACGGTAATACGGGGAAGCAGCGAAGGAAAACACAAATAAGACACACATTGCCGCAAATGTTTTGCCGACTAGTGGTACGTGTCTCTCAAGTTTAGATGAAACACAGCCTGCCGTAGTGCAGAAGAGCTGTGACGCCTTACTCGGTAGCTCTCCGGCCGCAGAGTCGTGTTCGTGAGCTCGCGCTTGCCTTTGTTGTGGGCCACTCTAATTGGAGAGTAGAACAGCCACTTGTCCTCCGCGACCATCATGCCGTGTGCAGTGTTCCAGGGTGGCAGCTTCCTTGTTTCCGGCAGCGCAAGTCCCATCGGCACCAACAGCACCAACAAGGCTACAGGCTACTAGTGTAAAATGGCGGCCGCCGCGGCGCAAAGAGCGCCCTCAGCGGTGGCGACCAGACCGCGTTGACGAACGACGCCGCGAAGGCGCCGGCTCTGCCACTCTTGTAGGAGCAGCCCAAGGCAGACCCCCGAAGCACGGTCGGGTAGTGTTGGGCGGAGAAGGCGAACGCGGCGATGGCGGAGATGTCCTGGGCCTGAAGTCCCGAGACGGCGACGATGACGTCCAGTTGGTCGGGGGCGCCCATTACGTTGACGGCGGACAGGGCGCCTGTCGCGATGGAGAGCGTCAGCATGCTGGCGGTGGAAGACAGGCGCCGACAGGCGCTTGTCAGGGCGTCGCTGTCTGCCACGACGCAGGGCAGCGGCATGACCAAGAGGGCGGAGCGAGCGCGCTCGTTATCGCGCAGCACGTGACCCAAGCTTAGGTGCGAGAAGGTCCTGAATACCAGGAACCAGAAGCCAAAGATAAGGGCTGACCGCTGGCGCAGGGAATGATTGGAGAGGAGGTCTGAAAGCCGGAGCCCTGCGCAATGCAGACCTCTACCATTAACACAGTGACTATGAACAACGACAATATTTAGTAACCGCATACGTACAACCTTATTATGCGAGTACATGGTTTCGTTAACACTGGACACTTCACCGTTTGCTTGTGTTAGTAATTAGTCACGTTGCACAAGCGTTTTTTTTGCCTGTAGCACCATTATCTCGAGTGCAAGTCATCGGCTCACTATCATACACCTAATTGAAGTTATAGCTGTACCTTTCATCAGCTGCATGTATGTACATTGACTGACACGCCTCATATAGAAAGCTTTAACTGAGGCGCTCAGTTAGAGTTTAGAGTTACAGTTCAGTTTATTTTACCATGTACTGTAAGTGGCTGGGACAGAGGAAAAAGCTGTATAAAAGAGCTCGACAAAGCCTAATATTCCGATGGTAACTGTAGCAACAAAACGGCAACAGCAAAGTAAACACACCGGGACAGTGTAAACCAGCAATGCATATGCTTTGCGTTGGAACAAAAAAGGTATACAAACTTATACAAACCAGAAACGCACATGCTATACATCGAAAGAAAGTATACAGTATACAGACAGAAAATAATACTACACACAAACAATAAAGCATCTTTACTAAAGAAATATTGGAAAGCGTACGAACATTTATATTAGACATCCTGTTATACCAAACAGTTCTATCAGACATGCAAAGCGTACGAACAGTTGACATCCTGTTACACCTAATACTTTGTGTTAACGTTATCTCTTATCTCAATTATATTCTAAGTTGAGGTATTGCGTTCATGGGAGGCACGTAGACTCTTGCATAACACCCGTTTATGAGATATAGGGGCAGAGCTGCAGCTCAAGAGGGGCTTGTGAAGCTGGAACCACGGTGCTGGAACAAACGACTTGTGTGCGTGAGACGTACGGTAAATGGATAAGTAGCACGCCTTGTCGCCCGTCTATAGGATGAGACAGAATGATTACCGTTGTCCGAGATGATGGCGTTGAGACCCTCTTGTTCCTGGTGAGCCACCAGCTGCTCGTGCTAGCCTGCACATCTCGAGCCGGAGCGCCGACAGGCGGTGCCTGAACAGACGCGGCTCGTCTCTGTGGGAGCTCGCTGCGCGCGCGTTCTCGGCACAGCGCATCTCAGAGAATGCCAGGAGCCAGCAGGGCGACTCTTCGACCAGATAAGCCGTGGCGATCATGCTGCACGAAGGAACCACGTAGGCCACCTGAGGTGATACCAGTCCATCACAATACGTTAACCGTCTAGTTTCTCATTAACGTATTTTGTCGGGCTAGTTAGTGTGTAGCTTGCACTCGTTGGCACAAACTTGAAAGAAGACGAGAGAGGCACGTAAAAGCGCACCTTGTCGTGTCTCTTTTTCCTTCTTCTTACAAGTTTGCACCAACGATATCTAGTTTTTAAACGCCCCACGAATAGCGTGGCTATAGCGATTGCTTAACACACACGGCCTCCATTGCATTCTCCTAAGACGGCTGGCTCGAAGGCGATAACCGTAGCTGTTTTCTCAGTTGATGGCATTTACCCTTCCCCCCCCCCCCCCCCCCGACGGCTTTGCGTACGTAACGTGATTGTCAACTGCCTCCATGATCCGCCCTCCTTTAACCAAGTGACTACGCAGTGAGATGACGTCATCAGGTGATATCATGTCATGACGTCTCAAATTTCGGTGTTCGGTAAAGTCATGTGACATCAAAGTCACAGAAATTTTGTTACGGAGATGGCACACACACATTCACATTGAGTACCACGTGACGTTTTGACCGAACTTTATTACTTTGGCTCTTTTTACCATTTGTGACCGGCACGTCGCGAAGTATCATCAGGTCTGACCAAACATCGAAAATTGCTCGAGTCAGGAGACGAACTGGTATGAAACCTACAAGAACAGAGCTTGTAAGCTTTTTTACTGTAAAAATGACTGGCTGGGCGAGTGAAAGCTACAGTGGTAACAAGCCACAGTAGTTGTATAATCAGCGGCCACAAAGCTTAAGAACGTACGGTTTGTTCATTCATTCACAAGATTCTACCACGACTTGAGGCGTCCTGAAGCCCAGTCTCTTCAGACCGAGGCGGGCCGCGTCCAAGTCGGTACCGCCAGGCCGAGCCTTATGGCGTAATTGTGGAACCTATGGAACACCCTTAGCTGATCTTGATATGTGTGGCAACTATCGAAACTAATACGATAGTTTCCTACTCATAGAGTGGACAAGACTCAGGTCAACCTCAACGAGGTGACGAATGACCTGGCACGAGATCTCGTTTGTTGTGCCAGTCAGAACAGAACCGATGCCCGCTAGCATTCCAGGTATCATAAAGATAACCACTCACAATGATATCCCAAAATGTTCTTAAGGCTATCATATCCCAAAATGTTGCTTAACACCGCGTGCCGGCAATGTGACCGGCACGCGGTGTTGCGTGCCGGTCACATCGAAGAGCAGGACGTGCGAGGTTATAAGCACTCCGGCGGCACAGGCCGACAGCAGAAACCGGAGCGTGGCGAGCAGGGGCCCGCTGTTGGCAAACGTCAGCGCGGTGCCGGCGGATACTAGCAGCGCGAGCCAGATGCCGAGCACGGGACGTCGACCGACGTTGTCGGCCGCGATGCCCGCGAGCTGCTGAGACAGTGCGCTCTGATTAGTCCTGATGAGCTGGTCCAGATTATGATAGAAAAGATCGGGCTTAAAAATTGCCGATTCCTTTTTTTAGGGATCGGTTAGCACAAAAATGAACCGTGTCTTCGTGTAGGTAGTTTAGCGTTTATTGGGCATTGTTTCCCCACAAGGGCGAAGGAATGAATGCTACAGCAACAAACTGCAATGTCACGAGAAGCGCAGCAAGCAGCTCTCGAGATTTGCAGCGCACACCTAGAGCAGAAAGCACGCACTAAATGAGCATACAAAGGACGAGCGTGGAGATATGACTGTCACTGCTCGACGCTTAAAGCACGCTGCTCAAACAGAATGCAAGACTCGAGAAACTTACGCACAAGTATACACAGGACGAGCACGAACATTCAAAATTCTTACTTCGTGTGTGAGCAGCGCGCTCCTTTCGCGAGTGCAGCTGCGGCAGCGAGCGAAGTGACCTCCATGCTCTCTTTAATCACTGTTACTTCAAAGCGAACTTGCGTCGGGAGCACAAGAGGTACAAAGCACCCGAATGCCAAGATAAGCGCGGGCACGTGCGAGCTTGTTTCATTGCTCTACGTCATGTAGAGGCGCGCTTATCGCAAAGCGCGGGGCGACAACCTTTAAAGACGAAAACACGCGGAAGTTGCTGAGCTCTGTACCAATAGTACATGGTGTATATAAATAGCTCGCCCTGAACGTGCTGGAAAACGTACGCTCTGCGGCTTACTGGTTTGCGCCGCGCGCTGCGGATGAAGAGGTCATTGGTTCAGCGCCTGGCGACGTAATTATTTCTTCTCATTTTTTTTCTTTACAATCTGTTAGTACATATATTTTGCGACATCATATCTGCTACGGAAATACTTCAGCGAAGCCATGGTGGATCCCAGCATGAAACACTTTCGTGTTAGAAAAACAATTGTAGTTTGAAGGTTGTGGGTTAGGATACCACCGATGGAAAAAGGTGCTTTTTCATTGTTTAACCGTTTTTTTAACATGAACCAGCGTGCCAATTGGAACAAGAATACAGGCAGACGAAACCTTCTGTGTGTCTTTCTTGTCCTGTAAGCCCGCTCTCTTTCTCGTCATGAAGCAGTGCCAGCAATAACAAAACCTTTACGGGTCAATCAGATGCAAACCGACGGAAAGGAAAAATTTTCCATTTTTTATGCGCTTAATTTTCTTTTAGATTAGCTCATTCCCAGAACGCTTCAGTTAAAACGACCAATAGTGCCGCCTATGTGGTCCTTGACATAGTTGGTTTCGTTTTTTATATTTATTTCTTCAGTTACATCACCCATTTTGAATGGTTGGCGTTACTTGCTCTACAAGGAGAGAAAGTGTTGTGGAGACAGGGCTGCATGTGGGACGAGACTAAGATGATGGGAGGTGAAGTGCAGACGCGGTGGATCAGAGAGAAAAGCGTGCTAGCCATGACGTCACCCTGACTACGGATGCTCAGCGATAAAAAGAAGACGTGCGCTTAGCACACGCATATGCGCAAAGACGCTACACTGCTAACAGACATTGTACACGCAGCGTCCTCCCCCCCCCCCAAAATCAAGAAGCTATATGACGCCGTCGAACACATCAGATTGCTTCTACATTTTCCCCAATGTTGGCATTTCGTAACTGTTTCATTAAAGATTTCAAAATAATAGCAACTTCAGGTCACGATGTAGGCTAGAGATCTTAAAATTTACACTAAAGAGCATTGGATTAGGGGGTGTGGGAACGAGCAGTCAGAAGGAGAACTCATTGGCCCTTGTGTTTTTACTCTCGGTTTATTGGTGGCGTTTTATATCAACTGGCTTTTACCTTGTAAATAAAGACAGTTAGGGAAAAAAGTACTGCTCGAAAAGGTTAAGAATGGAGTATCCTCTAACCCAATGAAACGCAGCATCTTTAATGACCCGAAGATTGAAAGTAACGATAGCAAAAGTTTACATCTGCAACATTATTTCGTTCTTGAGATTTTAATGATGATGCTAGCAGCAGTAACGATGATGCTTGCAGGCAGTAATGTTTCGTTCCCTTGCCTTGTAGTCGCGTTTCGACCCGAGTTCGAAACGAGACGTTTTGGACAAGCCAAAACAACTGCTCAAAGAACTCACTGCCGAGCCGACCACTCCTCCGGCCATGTATGCCGCCGCAAGCGCCGACACGATCCAGCCTCGTTTGCAGACTAGGTTCCATCCGTATACTATGGAATGGAGGTTCGAGTCACCTGTATTGTACTCCCAGCCTGAGTCGCAAGGGACGATGGTACGGTTGCTCGGATACTCTGCTGATGACTCGGCGTACGGCAACGGGGGCTCGAACTGGCTTCGTCTCTCGGTACAGTCTTCTTCCAGGACGAGTGGTATGCTGACGTTCCTCCATGCCAGTGGGTCGATGTAGGAGTACCTGGCGGGAGGCCTGCGTAAGGCAGGACGAGGTTCGAGCACACGAACTTCATTGAAGCCGAAGCCCATCATGAAGTTTTCAGTTGGGAGCGTCTGTACATGCGCGATGGAGGACGCTCTAGAAAACGCCATTAAAACGCTTTTAGTGTGAAATCAATGTGGCGATTGGGGCATTAACACACCTTCCCACGAGCAACTCACTCATTCACTCAATCACACACTCACTTACGAATAGTCGCGATAGCTTTATTGGTGTTGCTCGCCATTTGATAATTCATAACAAACTAGTGACTATATGCCCATAAGTACGCTCGGCCAAAGTTGACCTATCGAGCAAAGCAATGAAGAATGACACCGAAAATCTGCGTATAATGCAAGAACGCTACACGGAAACAGGAAAATAAACGCATAGGTGTAGCAAATACCTTTTATGGTGAAAATCATCACTGCTAACCCAGGCGTGCCGCAAAGAATAGCTGAGACAAGCACATGTGCCAGTGATCCTCTCTTCCTGTTTACTTATAAAGCAGGACACGTATACCAGCAAAAAAAGAACGAAAGGACACCTTTCGTTCCTTTTGTGCCCTTTCGGCTCCTTTTGTGCTAATCTCCATGCGCTGCTTCATAAGTAAACATGAACTATCACAACTCAGCCAATTTTCAACGTTGTCGCCTCTTTCTTTCGTGATCCATTCAGGCTTGCGCTGAAGGTATCAGTGCTGCATAGGAAGGTTAAAGTGTACTCTTACTTGCCCCAGTGGTCGACGGGCCTTGCCAAGTTAGTAGAAGCGAGCGCGTGCTCAACAGCCGTGAAGAACGCCACAGTAGTGTAGACCAGAACCATGGTCTGGAACCCGCCGTGTCCACAAAATATAACGTGATCCAGCGGTGACGAGGCCACTACCGTCGTAGTCGTGGCTGCAGTCGTAGCAACTACGGCAGTGGTGGTCTGGGCCGCCTCGTGATTACCTTCCTGCTGCGGAGACAACGGCGACGTTGGATTGGGCGCGGTCTTCACGACAGGAGCTGTCCGAATCGTCGTGCGCTCGTCTTCAGCGCCCCCAGTGACCGCCGCAATGAAGGTTTCCAGCTTTTGACCACTGTGGGATGAAAACCAGGACGTCGGAGCGGTCAACGGCTGAATACGATGACCCGTTCGTCTTCGGGAATCATGGACTGCTCCTGCCGAGATTCTTATGGCGACAGCGGCGTGGTCAGTGCAGTCATAGACTGATTGGCGGTGTCCGGCTCATTTTCTTTGCCGCTGGACATCTTGTCAGTGTCCCACTTGCCATCATAAGGCGAAAGCGAAGACGTCAGGGTGGTCAATGGCCGTTTCAAAGTGGTGAATTGGTCTTTGTCGCCGTAAAGAATGGAAGACTCCTGCTGACCTATGCACGGTGATAGCGGCGTTTCCGTAGCGGTCTCGAACTGGTTAATGGTGACTTGCTCGCTTTCTGTGCTACTGGTCACCTTGACGTGTCACTGTTCATTGTGTGGAGACAGGGACGAAGTCGCAGCGAGCAATGGCTGGTCGACAGTGGTCTATTGATGTTGGTAACCCGGAATGATGGCAGTCTCCCGCTGACCTTCTAGCGATGGCCGTGGCGTCGTCGTGGCGGCCGCATACTGGTTGGTGGTGGTGGTTGGCTCACTTTTTCTGCCACTGACCACGTTGTCGGTATCTTCTTGGCCCACGTGAGGAGACGGCGGGATCCTCGGCTGACTGTAGGTTGCCCGACGCTTGGCTCCCGCTTGTCTCATCTTCGAGGTCGCCCCGTGTTCCCTCGTGTGGCACCACTGGCTAGCTGAATGCTGCGCAACTCCCTCAGCGAAAGTGGACGATGGTTTCGTTGTAGCCGCGTGGGCACGATGGCTTCGACAGAGCGACTGCCACTGGTAGTCAGCTGCGCTGGTTTTGAGAAGCCTTTGAGGAGCGACGCGAAAGTACGACCTACGTCGGAGCGTTCGAAAGCTGCTGCTGATGATGATGATGATCCTTGACACTCTGGCGCACACCCACAAAGGGGGATCGGCCAAGAACCGGGCGGCAGGATCTTAACTAAAAGGCTAATGGTTTTTCAAAGAAAACGTAATTTTCGAAAGCTGCTTCTCGTCGCGCGATACCGCGTGCGCCTCGTGGTGGGCCCTGCTTCTTTTTCTTCGACTACAGAAATGTGGCAAACTTTGTGGTGAAATGTGCTAATACATTAACGAAGTCGTCGATAGAGCAGAGAGCAATATTGATAATCGTATGTCTTCAAAATATTTCTGAAGGTGATTGCCTTAGCGTAGATGTAGATCCTTGTCTTGTCACCTAAAAGATCTTGGCTCATACCCACAAGGAGGATAAACTTAGGGTGATGTCTATTGTTTTTGATACAGCCTTTACTACAGAACATAGACTCCAAATATATTCGTTTACTTCAAGATACCATGAAAATGAAATTACCTGTTTGAGACTATGACCTTCTTTTGCTGGGGACAATAAGTATCCAATTCGCAAACAGGAAGTGGTTATAACAAAATGTCCATGCCGTATAGCTTCACTTATTTTTTTAATGCAGATGTGGCCCATAGGGTGTCACATGCTTTACGTTTTAATTGTAAAGAGCTTGAAAACGTCGATCGTGTGCAACAACGAAGCTGTTAAAGCTGGCAGTTAGACATACGTTAACAAAAGAACCCTCCTGCGTTGTCATAGGAATCACCACGGCTGCGCGCAACCTGTGCTAAAAACAGCCCTGCCTCCGCCAGGCCAAGAAATGGCCGTCGCCATAGCAACTGCCACAGTTTCTTACACCGTGGCTCAGGGACAGCGATTTGAACACATTCAGACTGGTTACCTTTGCGCGTATTGCTTATCTGCCTGTGTCCATGATGATGATAATGATGCTTCGAACATGGTCAATACTCCCTTAGGGGGATTGCTCTCTGAGACGCTTGCTCTCGGCTCTCTTGGCTCACGTCTCGTTGGTGTCCCCCGCACGCCATCTGCATAGTGCGTTGACGAGTGGCTCTCTAGGTGTCTTGGAAAGTTGTCGTGCGTGGCGGATCGTTGGTGGGGCAAGGACGGAGCAGAGCGGCGGGCGCGTTGAAGACGCTTGCTCTTGGCTTCCTTGGCTCGCGTCTCGTTGGTGTTACTCGCACGCCGCCTGCATATTGCGCGAACTAGTGCCTCTCCCAGCATCCTGGATAGTTGCTGTACGTGGCGGATTGTTGGTGGGGCATGAACGGAGCAGAGTGGCGGGCACGTTGAAGACGCTTGCTCTCGGCTGTTTTGACTCGCGTCTCGTTGGTGTTACCCGCACGCCATCTGCATTCTAGAACATGGTCTGACGCATGGACGGATGCTTCGCCCCACTTATCATTCACTCCTTGGATATACCGTAATTCTTTTATAAGTTAAAATATTGCTGTAGTAATAATACCCACACAAGTAGAAACTTAAAGTCTTATTCGTTTAGTTTTGTAAAGGTAAGCACAAACGGTATCAAAAGAGTTCTTGTGGCAGAAGCCCAAAGCCGAAGCCCTGAAAGTAAGTGTATTGTCACTTGTGAAGTTCTGCCCCAGCTTGGCGAATGGGATAACGAGGACTCTTTTTCTTAGTAATTTGTATCGACGACATGACGAAAAGTAGTACTCTGGTGTTTCCGTTTCCATAGGTTATGAGCAGACCAGCCCTGTGTGAATATAAATTTAACAGCGGGGGGGGGGGGGGAGACGTCATCGTAGTCTAGTTATTATGACTTCCAACTTTCGAATAGCACACCACTGGATTTTCCACAGAAGTTTTAAATGACTAAATTCTGCTCATGGCATTTTTTACGGTATTCTATGGCATATGCAAGAAGCGAAAATTTTCTGTATCTTATCGGAGTTATTATGGCCACTTCCGGAAAGACCGATAGTGCGTAGCCATTCAATTGCGCTAGTGCTACGGAATTAGCTATTTCATTTAATTCTGATCCACATTGCCCAGGTACCCATAATAATTTTAGTAGCTTGAGCTGTGGGTGGATTAGCATAAGCGTCTTTGACGCCATTGCTATTGATGAGGTTGTAAGCGACGTACACACTGGCAGGTGGGTCAGTAATTATTACTGCGTTATGGGCGTTCAAAGGTAGCTTCTCCAGTGCTGGAATGTTCTCCAGTGCTGGAATGTTCATGAGGTCATCGTCAAAGGGATCTCAGTTACGTGGCAGGAATTTTAAAGCGACAGGGTTAAAGAGCTCGTTTCACAGAAATTCCAGTGTCGACGTCATTGTTAG